TCTGAGTTGCGAGCTATGTCTCTTCTGACGGCAGAGGTGACTTGGTTACGATGGTTACTAGAGAATTTTGGTGTTTCTGTTACTACACCTGCCACCATCTTGTCAGATAGTACAGGTGCTATCAGTATTGCACGGGATCTCGTGAAGCATGAGCTTACCAAGCATATTGGCGTTGATACTTCTTATGTGCGTGCTGCTGTGCAAGATCATGTTGTTGATCTTCAGTATGTGCCTTCTGAGTTACAGCTAGCAGACTTCTTCACGAAGGCCCAGACTAGAGCGCAACATGGATTTCACATTTCCAAACTCAGTGTTGTGGTCCACCATGAGTTTGAGGGTGGTGTTAGTGATGTCTTTTGACCTTTTGCATTCAGTCTCTTCGCATTCTCCTGTACCTTTTGGCATCCTCATGCATGTGTATATATGTTGGTTTTGGCCTTCTAAATAATACAAGTTGCTATTCTCAACATTCTTAACCCATACCACTTACAATGCACTGACTGAGCTTGCACACATTTTGGCTTCTCTACCTAAAGAATTCCTGAAGTGCGCAGCTTCTGTGATGAGACGACCCACTATTGAATAAACGAAAATCCCACATTCTCTCCATAGTTGATATTCGATGCATATTCCTGGATTTATTTCAGGATTTTCGGCGATGCGCATTCAGTGGGAGGAGATGTTCTCATCGATGACGAGGTGCCTACGGTGACTTCGTAAATTTTAAGATGATATGTCGGCTCAGTCTTTCGGAGGTGCTCATAGGGATAAGGTGTGCGTGTGTGCATTCATAGAGGTGAGTGTATGCGCGTGCATACGAGCGCTTGCGTCTGTATTGTGTTCAAAAAAAAACACTGCTGAGTTTCAGGCGGCACAAAACCTTGTTTTCATAAAGGGATGAAAATCTCAATCTTCCATTATTAAACGATGGACTCCTCCTTTTGTGAAAACTAAAAAGGAAGACTATATATACATGTACGCCCACCAACTCCACCCGATCCAACATTGCCTATGCGCTGCGCGATGGATCTGCTCCCCGAGGACGTGGTCGAAGAAGTGCTGCGCCGCCTCCCCGGCCGTAGCCTCGCGGCTTCCCGTGGCGTGTGCAGGGCGTGGCGCGCCGTCGTCGATGCTCTCAACCTGCTCGTGCCACACATGCTGCCGCACTCCGTCCGCGGCATCTTCACCAACTACCGCGGCTCGTCGCGCCCCCGCTTCTTCGGCCGTCCCCGCAGCTGCAGCCCGGGGATCGACGCCGCGTTCGACTTCATCACGCCCGTGCAGCACGGCCAACACGGCGTGGACTGCGTGATCGTGGACCACTGCAACGGCGTCCTCCTCTACGACGACGGCTGGCACTGGTCGAACCTCTACGTCTGCAACCCCGCCACGCGGCGCTGGGCGCTCCTCCCGCCTGCTCCGGGGGACCATTACTACCCAGGCCTGTGCTTCGCCGGCGCCTACCTCGCCTTTGATCCCGCCGTGTCGCTGCAATACGAGGTCTTCCTGATCCCAGACGTGCCCGAGAAAGTCACCACTGACGAGGACGAGGAGGAGGACCTGGAGGAGGGCTTGCTGGAGTGGCCACCGTCGTGCCATCTGCTGCAGGTGTTCTCGTCGACGACGGGAAGATGGGAGGAGAGGGCCTTCGTCCGCGCAGGCGAGGCGGCGGGAACCGTGGAGGAGGTGCGGTCGCATATGGAGGATCAAAGCTTCCGGAAGGAGTATAGCTACGGCGAGTACTGGAGAGGAGCCTTGTACGTGCATTGCCGCGCCGGCGCTTTTGTCTCCAGGTATGTGCTTACATTGGAATTGACAGTGCAAGCAAGCTATTGGGATCATGTCCTAGATCAAGCT